CACCTCAGGTGTCTACTCTAGCCAAATGGATATCGTGACGGACTTGCACTTAGCAGATCCAAGGTTCGATGTGCGGTCGGACAACGGACAACGAAATTTGAGTGGAATTTTGGAGGCCAAAGTGATCCTGGCGCCAGCCTCGTTATGTGTCCAGGGCTTTTGACCTCGGCTTTCGATGGTACAGGTTGTCACCGTTCGGGCGACACCTCCCGACCTCCAGGATGTTCCCCGGATCCCCCGGATTTCTACGCCCAAGCCCCAGGATGACACTGTGGGTACCGTCGACCTATAACTGCAACAGCAAACTAGTTTTAAAACAATCCTGAGGACGGACCTACTTCATTCCTACCTCCAAGGCTCACAAATCATCAACAATACGAAATTAGTAAAACACGAAAATTCGGTGTGTTCTCCGCATGCGCAAGAGAAAACCGGGAATTTTTTCGGAAACAACCGGGAACTTCACGGGAATATGTTTGCTGTGTCTATTTTGGCCAACATTCTGCAGTTTTATGATAACTTATGGAAGTACACCCTCGTGACAGGAGTGTGCTCAGGCTTCCTCTACCCCCTCCATCCTGGATTACATTTCTACGGGCGTAGAATACTATACTTACTGAAAACGTGATTTAAGGCTAAAGGGAAAAAGTTTTCTAAAAATATGTTATTTGCAGCCTGTTGTTTTTTATTTCCTTTTAAAAAGGTTAATTTTTGAGCTAGAATGCACATCTTTAAACTCAATCTGTCTTATGATACAAAACTACCCTCAAATTCCCAGATCGCTATCTCCATTCATTCTCCAGTTATCGTGCAAACAGACATAGGCACACCAACAGAATGAAACTTTTTCGGTGAGTGAAGTAATGGGCTTCCCTGATCGCTCAGCCAACAACCATTCACATTTTGCTCTGGACGTGCCATATTAAAAACACAGAGGGCGGTTGCACACTGCCCCTTTTACACAGTAACCCACCCTTCGTTTCTTAAGTCAAGGGGGAAATCACTTGGGTTCGTAGAGTACGGGCTATTTCGTGGTATTTCTCCTGCAATTTCGGCTATTTCTCGCTTATTTCGGATTACCGACTATTTCGCGTCTAGTTCGCTCTATTGTGCCAATATTTCCCTTGTATTTTGGACCGGGGGAAGGTGTACGAACTATTTCGCAAAGTGATTTTCCCTCGACTTGTTGGCATAATCACTCGCGTTGGTGCAAATAGCTGACACGTTCGTTTACTGCTATGCAACGAACATATTAGTCACTTCAACGTAACTCTTTTTCCCGTGTATACAGGGTAATTTCAGTTGTGAATCGAACCAAAACAACGTCTGTTATTAAAATGTATATTATTTCAAAAGTGCTTTTTTAAACACATTTTAACAGCGTGTGTCGCCAAATGATTGTTGTTGTTGTTGTTGTTAAGGGAAGCACCTGCTGCACAGAGATGATGCTAGCTGGCTGGCTCTAGTTAGTCAGCGGCTTCGTGAGGGCTGCCTTAAGGCAGTTAGTGGTGGCG